CGAAGGAGGAGGAGGCGGCGGAGGAGGAGGATGAGAAGGAGGAGGAGGATGAGGGATGTGGAGGTTGGATCTCAATGCAGGTAGAACATGGAGATGCATGACGTGGGCCCAATTGGCATCGCAACATATCTCAAACGTGAATAACTGGCCCCGGAAGAATAATCAGGAGGACACGCATTGATAGACTGCTGCATTGAACCACAACATGCCAGATACATGTCGGACCTCGTATGTGATCTCTTTGGGCAGCACTGTGGGGAGGATCCGGATGACATGAGAGGTGCTGATGAAACAGGTGTTGTGTGGGCCCATGGAGGTAATGATACTTGAGAGGCCTGGCCCCCCTTGGCAATCTTATACCTGCATGTTGCAGGATACCATCTCCGCAAGCATGATCCATGATACGCTAGCAGTCAAGCAAATATGAGACGCAGGTCAGATTTCTATGGAGTTTGCCATGCCAACCGATCGCCTCTGGCGCAAGAGGCGAAGCACTTCTGCCAAGAACCTTGCACTAGTGCGATGAAAATATCCCAGCACCCAGATGGCCCCCATGCAGACAACCCAGCCGAACGGCTGGCTTGCGGGGACTACTTCCATAGCCGCTTGTTCCTGTTTGCAAGCCAAATTGCACAACATAGTAGACTCAGGAGGAGGGTTGGGAGGGCGACGGGGTCGTTTTTTTTTGGGGGGGGAAACCATCAGTCAAAGCAGGGGCCTCGAGGCCCAACCCAGTCCTTTATAACGAGGCGTACAACCCTTGTTAAAGACCCCTCAAGGAGGGAGTGGCGCCCATCGGCAGCGTAGGCGAGGAGCAGCTGCGCGTTAAAGTGAAACAGGCTGACTGGACAGTCTGCAGCATCGAACATCAGCTGTTGCATGCGAGCGCGACACGTTTTAAGGAGCGTGTCGCAGCATCGCTTGAACGAGGCGCTGGACCAGTACAAAGGCACACCATGTGTCGGGGAGCCCCAGGGAAGGCCCTTTCGAGAGACCATCGTACCTCTTGGCGGCCACCGTGGTTCAGCCGTTGGAAGCTGTAGGCAGGACGGGGGCCAGTTTCTGGATGGTCCTCCGGGGGAGAGGAAAGGAACCCCCTCGGGCGCAGCCCAAGTGGCGCGACTTTAAAAAGGGCTGGCAAGGCCCACAGTTTGACCTTGGAAGCCATCACGCTGAAACAAGTCCTGGATGGGGCTCAAGAGTTTCAGACCAGTCACAGGCATGCCCAACTCCCAATGAAGGCCCTCGCCCATCTCACTGTTTTGCTTAACCAGGTGGAGAGCAGCCTGCCCTGGCCAGACCAATCATTTTCAACATTGTGCAGTTGAGGTTTAAGCCACAGGGGACCGACATGCTCATCACGCCCACGCAGGCCCCTGACAGAACCTGGTCCAGAGTCAGGGGGGTTCAGGTATCATACCGGTCAAGGACGCGTGTCCAATTCGGGGACAAAGCATTGGGAGGCTCCAGCTGCCTGCGCGCAGCGATTCTTAGGCAGGCAAGGCTGGAGATAGCTTCCTTGCAGCATTTTCCTTGGTGCGAGATCCGTTGGGACTCTGTGGAGGTCCATGCTCTGATAGACCCAGAGCAGCTGTGGCATGCAGCGCAGAAGGTCGGGCACCCCCTCACTCACCTCTTTCTCGGCCTCGGCCTGCACGTTGGCACGCGCAGGTGCCAGGCTGGAGGGTGTTCTCAGAACTCCTGACGTCTTCTTCTCAGAGCATGAGCACGTCTAGGCCAACTTCGTGGCGACTGTCCGCGCAGACCTTCGCTCTAACTCTGAACGGTGTCAGCCAGATGCAGAGTTGGGATGCCGAGAGCCAGCACGCAGTGGGCACGGACTCGGCGGCCACTGCCAGCACAGCGAACGCACCCTACGAGTTTTTGTTGGACGTTGTGAGCGGCTGCACTCTGGGATCTTTCAAATGGCACGGTGGTCAGCAGCCACCCCCCAGGGGCTGCGGCTGCCCCTGCAGCAGCGCCCGCGCCGCCAGTGGTGGAGCCACGGGCGCACATCAGTGCTAGCAGGCCTCGGGAGGACAGCGATGCCGATGCTTCGTTTCGGGTATGGCCAGGCGGGCCCAAGAGGAAGAGCAAGGCCTTTGTGATCAGACAGTTGACCCCCATTCTGAGGCTGCCCCAGGAGAGGAGGACACGGTCGCCCAACCAGGCAGGCTTGCCTTGACCCCTTCCAGGTGCCCTTTGTAGAGACCCTCTTACACAAGGTAAGGGAGTACGATGGCATCGAGGGCTTGACATGCTCCATCAACGGCCTGCTTGCCCGCGCTAGGGACGAGCAGGGAGACTGGTCATGCATCTGGCTAAGAGGATTCTTGCATACCCTGTGGATCCACCCACGTTACAACTTGCCCATGCAGGGGCAACTGGTGAATGGAGGAACCCTCGAACAGGATATAATGGACCTTGCAGGTTGGCAATGCGCAGTCCTTGCGTCTGATGGTTCTGGCGGCAAGCATCATGAGGATCCCAGGCTCCGCAGGTGTTGGCGGGGGCTTGTGATGATGGATGGGTGGGATCTTCCCAGGTGGTCGTTCGGACCTCTGGATCACTGGAAGCAGTCCGTTCCCGTTGTTGAGCTAGTTGCTGCCACTGAGGCCGTCAGAGCCATGGGGTGGCTCCTTTGCATGGGAGAGCCACTGAGGTCGTCGGTATCACGGCAGGCTGTCACAGTAGTAGTCACTACCAGAATCAACAATTTGGGGAGCTCTTTGGGGAGACGGTCGGGGGCAGGCCTCTGGAGGCCCACGGGACCGAGGCCCATCAGCCGGCTGATGAGGCCAGGGGTGGAGGCGCTCACCCGTTGTTGTGGCCAGTGAGCCAGCTGGCAGAGTTGGCAGCAGAGAAATGGCGCCTGCCAGACCCAACTCCCGCCCCAGACAATCTCCGAAATCGCTCACATCGTTGGGCTAGCCGTCCGAGTCCAGTCCCACCTCCTGGCGGTGGCCGAAGCTGTCACCAAGACCCCACTCCAAACTGTATGGAGCGTCCTCAAGGCAGGACCGCCAGCGGGACGCCAAGGTAAGGGCGGAGGACAGGAAGGACGCGGTCTCGGCATCCATAGCTTAATCCAGGCACCAGGTCTCCGACGACACGCGCGGCATATTATCATGTGAGGTTTGTTTTTGTTTCAGGCCAGAAGGCAGGGGGCGTTTGCCATAGCCCCGGAGTCCCTGTCAGAGTACCCCATGCATCATGCACCATTCCCATATCTGGAGAACCTTTTGATGGATTTATTGGTGCAGGGCCTGTGGAGACTTCGGCATTCAGAGTTTCAGAAGCTCAGTGAGGTTGCAAGACAGATATGATCACCAAACTCGGGAGACGTCAAGGCGATTTTGCCGATGGGTGTAAGAGAGTGGGGCCAGCCGCACGGTCAGCGCCCACCCCTCTCCGTCAATTTTGTTTAGTGGCCCAGCCATTGCGGTCCTTGTCAGAGGAGTCTGGCGGCTAATGTAGGCAGAAGGCGAGGTGGAGGTGGAGGTGGAGGTGGAGGTGGAGGTGGAGGTGGAGGTGGAGGTGCTGGTGGTGGTGGAGGAGGATGTGGAGGAGGAGAGGGAGGAGGAGGAGGAAGAGGAACAGGAGGAGGAAGAGGAGGAAGAGGAGGAGGAGGAGGAGGAGGAGGCGGGGGGACGGGGAGTGGTGGCGAGGTCCTCCGTCACGAGAGGGGGGGTGGATGGGGAGGAAGAGTGGGTGCACCAGAGGCGATGAGGCCTCGGGTTGCGCACAGACAGCCCCCCCGAGCAGTCCCAGCTGCCTCCACATGCCCTCCGAGCGGTCCGGGGCGCGGAGTGCCCCAGGGGCGCTGCTGGAGGCGGCGCCAGGGGGGAGTCATTCCTCCTCCTCCTCCTCCTCCTCCTCCTCCTCTCCTCCTCCTCCTCCTCCTCCTCCTCCTCCTCCTCCTCCTGCTCCTGCTCCTGCTCCTGCTCCTCCTCATCCTCCTCCTCCTCCCTGCTCCTCCTGGGGCCAGCTGGGACCACCTGGGGGGCTGCCTGAGCGCGGCCCGAAGCCTTACACACTCAGGGCGGGGCAGTTTCGGGGTCCGAGGTTCGAGAGGTTTTTCTGGGCGGCGTCGTCGGTTCTCGGTGGTCTTGGGGCCTCGGGGCCCCGAGCGGGTCTCAAGCATTGACTGCAGCAGTCCAGCAAGAGTGGATCCGACGGGCGGTTCGGTGTGTGCCACAGCACGGCCCAGTATACGGCTCATGGCGGAGACCAGCAACCTGAAAACCATATTGATCGACGACGTCCTGTGAGTGCCCGAAGGAGTATCGCCCGATGCTGCTGCAACTGAGCATTGGAAGCCGTTCGAGCCGGATTTCTGGTGGGGCTTCTTTTTCTGGGCGCTCCAGCGCCGCATCCGCAGCACCCCAGAAGCGTGTTTCGTGCCTCTTGCTGCAGGGTCCGCTGCAGCAGCTGCGCCCTGCTGAGTGCGTTCCGGGGGTGCCCGAGTCGCCCCAAGCGGCCGCCGGAGAGCCGAGAGATGACCCGAAAGCCAGGGGGCAACGATAGGCTCAGAGGGGAATGCATCGACCCCCGCTCGCCCATACATCGCCAATCGAGGCTGGGCAGCCCAATCCGTCCAAGTCGGGTGTTGCTAGAAGTACCCCTGGCCCAAGGTGCCCCTAGGATTCTCGGGGTGGCCCAGACGGCCTCCAGAGCACCCCTCACGAGGCCCAGAGGGCCCCAGTGGTTCCAAAATAGTGCGAAGAGCTGCGGGCACCTTGGGGCCAGGGGCACTTCTAGCAACACCCGACCAAGAACGTGCGGGGGGCCTTTCGCCGATTTATCTTGGGAGGAGGGCGAGGAGGAGTCGGCGAGGGGAGGACGAGGCGACGCCTTCTTCAGATCTCCGACGTCGTGCTCCTTTCACAACCTCGGAGTCCATAGGTCTGGACCCTTCCCCCCGGGACCGGTGTTCATCCCGAGTCGATTTCGGACGGTCCCGGGGCAGATGCTCTTCTCGGCGGCGGCCGGAAATTGAGAGGCGCAGCCGCTGGTCCTGTCGCTGGGCGCGTCCTTCTGCGGCGGCCACGTGGTGGTGCCCAGCCCCAGCGTGGACGCCGTCCTGCAGCCCGAGGGCGGCTTCGAGGAGCGCGAGGAGACCGCGTTTCGGGGCAGGATCGCCCTTTGGTTGCCTCGCCTTGGGCGTTTCTCCGGGGCGTCCAAGAGGCCGAGAGGGGGAGATGACGAGGGTCAGAAATTCCAGGATTCGCCCGGGATGCGTTTCCCCCCCAAGACAACAACCGAAACCTTCCCGAAACCCTTCGAAAACCCTTCCCGGATGGTTCGGGAGGCTTTTTGGAGGGATCCCAGCGGGTTTCGGAAGGGTTTTGGTCAGTACGTCCCCTGTTCCCCCCTTGGGCCGTGCACGTGCTTCGGGCCATGATTTGCATCGCCCCCTCTTGGACGCCCCTCCTCTTGGAACCCTCGAGTTTCCTCCCTGTGCTCTCGCGCGCTGGGCTTGCGGTTGCTCGTCTTCGGCGTTTCCTCCGTGTGGTCTCGCGCGCTGGGCTTGCGGTTGCTCGTCTCCAGCGTTTCCTCCACGTGGTCTCGCGCGCTGGGCTTGCGGTTGCTCGTCTCCAGCGTTCCCTCCTAGGGATCTCGCGAGCTGGGCTTGCGGTAGCTCGTTTCGGCGTTTCTTCCTTGTGATCTCGCGCGCTTGGCTTGGGGTTGCTCGTCTTCGGCGTTCCCACCATGATGATGATGACGATAACAACGATG